CGGGGTACCGGTAGGGCCGACATCGGCGGAAAACGCGGGGCGCGACAGAAACGAACGACAACACTCGGAGTGTTAAAAAAAAAGAGGAAATTATATTGTGAGTACGGTACAAAAAAGTTTCTTTGCGTGATTGTAACGTAATCGGGATCAAACGGCAAGGAAATAACAAAAATACAAAAACTGCTGAGTCTCGGCAAAGTTTTCCCTCTAGTACCAAATACCACAAGGTAAGGATTATACAAAGTGTACAAATTTGAAATAAAAATACAACACGCCGGGGCTGTGTGTGTTTTTCAAACTCCCGGAGAGTTTTTTTCCCCTGCACGGAGGACAAAGCCGGTGCTGGTCCCCCCAGTTCCCCAGAGAGCCGGAGCGTGCCCTCACCAGGACGCTCTCCCTCGCGAAGGGCGGGAAGGCTCCGGCGCGGGCCGGGGTGCGCCGCAGGGCCCCTCCCAACACCAGGCTCGCCGGGGTTCGTCGCGGATTGTTCAAGCGTGTACGCTGTCGTCTCGGGTTGAGAACTTGCATGGTGGTCCGAGAACCTTCTGACCCCTCCACCGACTGACGGAGGAAACCCAGCGCTGCGCTTGAGAAGAGCTTTAAGAGACAGACCGCCCGGCGCGGGCACAGCGGGGGAACACGTGGTGAAGAGGAACGGGGATGACAAACCCTCCCGCACACCTGACGGTTTAATCTAAGTATGATCTGGGGCTCGGCCACGGGGAGGGACAGCTCACTTTCAGCTGCCCTGAAAAACAGAAGCTAGTAAAAAAAGTGCTCTTCTGTCATTTTAAAACTTTCATGTTATAAGGCTGGAAAGGCTAGAGTCAAACGATACTTCAGTTGTTCTGCCGACACTCACAAGACAGCCTGTTTCTACACGCACTAAAATCCTCTGCTGTTTCCCCACACAATGCCGGTGCTTACTACTGCACGCAGAGCCAATTCCCGCAGGAAGTGGGGCGAGGCAAACCTGATTCGTATTTTCCACACACTGTTGGTGGAGGAAGGGGCTTTTGCTTTTAAATTACGTGTGTGTATATATATACATACACACAGAGAGAAATATACAGGATAAATTAAAATCTGCCACAGGTATTGGTAAAAGTTAAATACATATGATATGAACACCACACACATACAGACACACGAAAGCCTATATGAGAATCAAGTGCTCTCCTGTGGCTCCTCTTCCAGAGGAGCAGAAACCCAAACAGCAAGTATGTGGCTGGAAGGTAGGGGAATCGCTCCCGCCAACCCACACGCGCCTTACTCAGCCGTAGCTGCTTCAAACCGGTCATTAGTCACCGCCTCACAGCAGCACCACGGCTCCTCCAGCGCTGCTGGTGAAAGGGATGGGGGATCAGCCACCTCGGAAACCAAAGCTGTCTGTTCACAAAACGGCTGCGAGACGGGCAGAAGCAATCCAAGTTTGTCCCATCTTCTTCCACGCTCCTCTCCATCAAAGCAGGCTGACCATGCCCTGGAAAAATCAGCAGGAGGTTCATCCTCTCAGGCCAGAGCAGCTGGGTTGATACATCGTGCTAATGACGATTTTGGTGCAAGTCGACAAGAAAAGATGAAATTCATTGTCATCTTCCACTTCAAACGCCAGCTACCAGACCAGCCAGCTGACGCTGACAACTTTCAGTTATTACTGACTGAAGAGGGGGGGTTGGAAGAAGTGACTGAGAGGCAAAGTCCTCTGTATCTTTGATAAACTATCCAGCTTTCCCCTCAAGCAGCAGATTTTACACTAAAAAACAGAAATAGGGCTGGTGAAGAGTTCAGTTCTATTCTTTGGTCCAAAATATATCATCATCTTTGAGAGGTCCTGGAGGACAGGAGAGGTGCCCGAGGACTGGAGAAAGGCCAATGTCACTCCAATCTTCAAAAAGGGCAAGAAGGAGGACCCAGGGAACTACAGGCCGGTCAGCCTCACCTCCATCCCGGGAAAGGTGATGGAGCAGCTTTTCCTGGAGGTCATCAACAAGCAAGTGGAGGAAAAGAAGGTTATCAGGAGTAGTCAGCATGGATTCATCAAGGGGAAATCATGCCTGACCAATCTGATAGCTTTCTACGATGGCATGACTGGCTGGGTAGATGAAGGGAGAGCCATGGATGTTGTCTACCTAGACTTCAGCAAGGCTTTCGACACAGTCTCCCATAATATCCTCCTAGGGAAGCTCAGGAAGTATGGGCTGGATGAGTGGTCGGTGAGGTGGATTGAGAACTGGCTGAATGGCAGAACTCAGAGGGTTGTCATCAGCGGCGCGGAGTCTAGCTGAAGACCAGTAACTAGTGGTGTCCCCCAGGGGTCAGTACTGGGCCCAGCCTTGTTTAACTTCATCAACGACCTGGATGAAGAGTTAGAATGTACCCTCAGCAAGTTTGCTGATGACACCAAACTGGGAGGTGTGGTAGATACACCAGAAGGCTGTGCTGCCATTCAGCGTGACCTGGATAGGCTGGAAAGTTGGGCAGAGAGGAACCTGATGAGGTTCAACAAGGACAAGTGCAGGGTCCTGCACCTGGGGAGGAACAACCTCATGCACCAGGACAGGCTTGGGGTGGACCTGCTGGAGAGCAGAGAGGGACCTGGGTGTCCTGGTGGACGACAGGTTAACCATGAGCCAGCAGTGTGCCCGGGCTGCCAAGAAAGCCAATGGGATCCTGGGGTGCATCAAGAAGAGTGTGGCCAGCAGGACAAGGGAGGTTCTCCTTCCCCTCTACACTGCCCTAGTGAGGCCTCATCTGGAGTACTGTGTCCAGTTCTGGGCTCCCCAGTTCAAGAAGGATGAAGAGCTACTGGAGAGAGTCCAGCGGAGGGCTACAAGGATGGTGAGGGGACTGGAGCATCTCCACTACGAGGAGAGGTTGAGGGAACTGGGCTTGTTCAGCCTGAAGAAGAGAAGGCTGCGAGGGGACCTTATAAATGCCTACAAATATCTGAAGGGTGGGTGTCAGGAGGATGGGGCCAAGCTCTTTTCAGTGGTGCCCAGCAACAGGACAAGGGGCA